CCGCCCAGCCCTGCCCAACCACCAGCCAAAGGCTGGTCAGGCTGGGACAGTTCCATGATGAATTCAGAGCAGACACATGAAGATCATCTCCACAGGCACAGTTTTCCCTGTTTGCTCTGCTGCTCTCCAGAGGAGGCCTGAGGCACAGCCCGGGTGTATCACTGTACCTTAATATATATATATATTTATTCTTTTTTAAAAGGATTGTTAGGGGTAAGACCTGTTGGAGAGGGTCCAGAGAAGGGTCACCAAGATGATCCAAGGGCTGGAGCAGCTCTGGAGCCAGGCTGGGAGAGTTGGGGTGTTCAGCCTGGGGAAGAGAAGGCTCCAGGGAGACCTGAGAGCAGCTTCCAGTGCCTGAAGGGGCTCCAGGAAAGCTGGGGAGGGGCTTTTCATCAGAGAAGATAGTGAAAGGACAATGGGTGATGGTTTTAAACTGAGAAAGGGGAGATTTAGGTCAGATATTAGGAAGAAATTCTTCACTATAAGGGTGGTGAGGAGTTGCCCAGGGAGGTTGTTGATGCCCCATCCCTGGAGGTTTTTAAGGTCAGGTTGGATGAGGTTTTGTGCAAACTGGTCTAATGGTTGGGTTCCCTGCACAGGGCAGGGGGGTTGGAACTTAATGATCTTAAGGGTCCCTTCCAACCTTAATGATTCTATGATTTGAGCTGTGGTTGGTAAGGGAGGGAGAGGAAGGGAAAGCAGCTACACCCTCACTGCTGCCAGACCCGTGTGCTGCAGTGGGGACTGGGCACAGCCTGCACCCCCCCTCTGCTGGGAAACACCCCAGGAGCACAGGCCCCCTGGAAAAAGCTTATTTTATCAGTATCATCTAAAGATTAAAGCCCTTATCCCTCACAGAGCCCTCCCCACTCTTCCTTTTGCAGCCCAGTGAGACCTGCCTGGCGGGAGGTGAGGCAGCCCCTGCAGAGCTGTGGGTGAGGTTTGATTTACAGCCCCTGCTCAGGATTGATGAGTCTCTCCCTCCCCCTTGCCCTGTGATGTGTTGGACATTGATTCATTTTACCTCCAACTCCAAGGTGCTGATCAGCTGAGAAACTGAAGGGATTATTTCTTATGTGTATTAAAAATGAGACCTCTCCAATGTTAGAGGACGGGTTTAAAAATCCTCAGGTCCCTTCACTTCAGAAACCCTATTTTTAACAATCTGAATCTCACATCCTGAAGTGGCTCCTTGGAGAAGCTCCTCTGGCCAGAGATGGATCATATCACAGTGACTCAGTTCCTCTGTTCTTCTGAGAGTCTTCAAGGCAAATTGCTGTGATTCATTCCCATATTAAAGAGCTGAAGAACATCCAGGTGGAATACAAGGCACTGGAGATGCTGTGCCTGTGCTTCTCACCCCCCCCTCCCCTCAACGAGTGCTCCCACCTCCCTTCCAGTCAGATCTGCTTTTTACTGGGACCCAGAAGCTGGAGCAGAGCAATGAGCTCTGCAGCAGGGCTTCCTGCCTACCTGCCCTGGCCACAGCCTGCTGGAAGACATGCCAGCAGGGAGGAGGGTCAGGGTTTTGGGCTGCCCTTCCTCATCACAGCAGGAACCTGCCTCCCAAAACATTTGGTACATCTGGAAACTCCTGCCCTTGGGCTTTCATGGGACACTAGCTTGGGGTGTAGCAACTGCAGCAGTTTTGTGCCTTGCACATCCAGGAGGCAACATCTGAAATCACTGCGAGAACACAGAGCTGCCTACACCTACACTCAGGTACAGTAACACACTCAGTGTGCACAGGCACCTCACTTGTGCTTCAAGGCTCATTTCCAAAGCACTCTTGGGTGGAGCTCAACAAGATACCCTTGACAAGCCACCTCTCTCCCCTCTCTGCTACCTCCATCCAGAGATTCAAGCTGAAAATTAAACCCAGGGACATTCCCAGACCAACAGCCACCCACCCCAGCTGCAGAAACACACAGTTTGGGAAGCAGGCACTACCACCATGACTTCAGAAGCTCCTTCCAGCTCTGAACGACATGGAGTTCTGTAAGTTTAATACACCCTTGATGATTCAGAAAAGTGAATTTTTCTTCAATCTGTGGTATTTTAAAATTCTCTATTAGCCTGTCACCTTGCACAGACAGATGCCAACTACAACCAGAAAAAGTACACAAAGCTTTAGGCTTTTTTTTTCAGTTAAAACTGCTGGGAAGTTGCCTACATGGCAACTGCTTTTAATTAAATGTTCTGTCATATTTACAGCATCACATTTTTCTCTGTGATTCACTCTTTCAGGCTGGCAGTACACGGTGCAATTTTCTTTAATGAAGCTGGATAAACCTCCCTTTGCTGTGTGCACTGAGGGCACCACCAACGCTGCTGCGCTCGCTCTGCCCTCTCGAGCCAGCCCGAGGGTGGAGTGTGAGCACCTGCTTTGGCCAAAAGAACAACCTTCAGGAAAGAAAACAACAACCAACAAACAACCTCAAAAGTCACCCTCCTCCTGCCTGCTTCATTCATGGGTGTCACAATACAGGCCTGAGGTTTCAGCTGCTCCCAGGATGCTGGATGATGACACCTCTAAGCGAGGGGCCGTCAGGCAGAGGAGCAGAGACTTGGAGCTGCTTGGGGACATGTTGAGAAGCAGCAGGAAGAAAGGGAAGTAAGGAAAGGAGCAGATGTGGCATTTTAATGAGGTTGGAGGAACCGTCACCTAAAATCCTGCTTGTGCATCAGTGATGCCTGAGTGTTCATGACAGCCACCCCATGATGTGGATGGCCTTGAGTTTCCAAGATGGAAGTTATTAATCCCATCGGAAGGGAGATTTCACCTTCCAGTGGTACCAGGCTAAACACTATTTCATGGCACTTAAAAAAAAATAGAATAAAATAAAAACAACCCCAAATTCTTCTCTCATTGGCCTTGGTTTTGTGCTTTTTTTTTGGTTGACTTTCTGTGCTCAGCAATGGCTGAGTTCAGGCACACTGCTCACCAGCCTGCTTGGATGGGGAAATGTCCCCTGGATGAACCACAGCCCTGTAACGCTGCGGATCAGGTTGGCTGAGGAACAGGATGAATCAGGATGATCACGAGAAGAGAAAAAAACCACTTTTCCTTCCAGGCCACCATCTGATTCATGCTGCCAGAGCCTGGTCCAGCAGCACCTCCAGAAGCGGGCGGGAGAGCGGCCGCAAGTGACGATGCCAGAATGACAAGCAGAAAGAAGAAGAGTCGTGTGCTCCAGCCTCTGGGGTCAAAGGCCTCGTGGTGGTGGGGGTGCTGCCTCCCTCCCTGCTGGCAGACCCTACTTGAAGGTGGCATTGAAGGCCCTGCCGATGACGAGCCTGCGCACCTCGCTGGTGCCAGCCCCGATCTCGTAGAGCTTGGCGTCGCGCAGGAACCGCCCCATCGGGTAGTCATTGATGTACCCATTCCCACCTGCCACCAGAGAGAAGGCACAGGTCATTTCTCCTGCCTGATTGCAGGAGCTTTGAGGGTGGGATGGGAGAGGGCAAAGCTCTGGCATTGCTCTTGGCTCCCTCCAGCAGCTGCTCAGAGGAACCAGCGTGGTCAGTGACTCACCCAGGCACTGAATCCCATCCAGAGCCACCTGGGTCGCACACTCTGCTGAGTACAGGATCACTCCAGCACAGTCCTGCAGGAGAGCCAGGAGGGTGACAGTCAGGAAAGGTGTCACCTGCCTGTCTCCAACCTCCGTGTAGCTCTGACCCTCCCACTGCTCTAGAGGCATCTGCTAATGAGCCTGCAGCCCTGACCACAAAGGCACAAGAGAAGCTGCAGCAGCCTGTCTGTCACTGCAGACACTTGTGGCAGGTCTGCAAAGGCCACGTGGGGACAGGAGAAGAAAAAAAACCCAAAAACCAGAAAAAGGGGAAAAAAAGGAGTGCAGCAGGGGAACTGGTCTCTCATGAACGAACATCATAGCCACAGGAGACCAATGTGATTTGATTTGGGATGCAGGGCTCTGTGCTCCAACTGTTAAACACGCAGTCCCCTCCTTTCACAGGGTCCAGGAGATGACAACACCTCGGAATGACTCCCACAGCCCCTCCCCACAGCCCGGATACTGTGTTTGGGCTGCCAATAAACACCTACTGATGCTGCTAAACCTGCTGCCTTGCAGAACGAGGCTTTCTTTTCCCTTTGGGGGGGAGGAAGCACTTAGGGCTGCGAGCAAGTCATTCTGACCCCCAGGACAGAACTCCCACCCTGGGACCACAGGACAGGGATCCCCCCCCCAGCAGACAGGCCAGGTGGGAGCAGCTGACCTTGGCATTGAAGTGTCCCTGGTCACAGGCCCTGGCCACGTTGTAGACGTACTGCCGGCAGGCCATCAGCCGCGTGTACATGTCTGCCATCTTGCCCTGCATCAGCTGCAACAGCAGAGACAGGGGTGAGGGTCACCTTCTGCATCAGCACTGGGGAGCACCCGTTGCCCAACCCACCCCACTAGACACATGGGAAGACGTGGATTCACAGATACACGTGAGGGAGCTGGAGGTTCTGTCAATTCAGACTTGGTTCTCCTCCCACTCTATTCTGCCTTGGTGAGGCCACATCTGGGATGTTGTGTCCAGTTCTGGGCCCCTCAGTTCCAGAAGGACAGGGAAATGCTTGAAAGAGGCCAGGGCAGAGCCACAGAGATGCTGGAGGGAGGGGAACATCTCCCTGCTGAGGAAAGGCTGAGGGAGCTGGGTCTGTTGGGCTTGGAGAAGAGGAGACTGAGGGGTGACCTCATCCATGGGTACAAATCTGTTCAGGGCACTGTCAGGAGGCCAGAGCCAGGCTTTGTGCAGTGATGTCCAGTGACAGGACAAGGGGCAGTGGGTGCAAACTGGAGCATAGGAGATTCCACATAAACATCAGAAAAAACTTCTTCCCTGTGAGAGTGACAGACCCTGGGCCAGGCTGCCCAGAGAGGTTGTGGAGTCTCCTCTGGAGACATTCAAACCCGCCTGGACACGTTCCTGTGTGATGTGCTCTGGGTGACCCTGCCCTGGCAGGGGGGTTGGTCTAGATGATCTTTCCAGGTCGGTCCCTTCCAACCCCTAAGATTCTGTGATTCTGTGACTCCCAAGTGTCAGCCACAGCCCTGGCTGTGCCCATCAGTGGCCTCAGCCAAACATCCTCAGAGATCTTGTCACCTTCCCACCACATCATTACATCGTGCAGCCCCAGTGCAAACTCCAGACAACCTTCCCCACCCAAAGCCCTCCCACCACAGAGCTCTTTGTCTTCTCCTTTTTTGAAGAGAAAAGCAAGACAACAGAAGTTTCTAATTCCTTTGCTGCTCACCTGGAAGAGGCCAATCTTCTGTCCAAATGCTTCTCTTACATGCAGGTATGGGATCGCGTGGTCAAGGACAGCTTGCATGAGCCTAAGCCAAGCACAGATATGGAGGGAAAGGAAGAACAGAACTATTAATTAATAATAATTAAACTTTGGAAGTGTAATCTAAGGCAAAAAAGGTTCTCCTACCTAGCATGATATGCTGCTGCATTCCCACAGCTCCACTCCAACACCACTAGCAATAAAACCCAAAGTTCCCATTTTCCTCCCCAGTGCTCTGCTCATTTGGGACACCTTGTGGTGAGGTCTCACCTGTGTAATTCAGGGAACTGAGACAATGAGTGGAAGAGGTTTCTTACAAATGCAGCCAGGACAGCTTGTGCTGCCTGGCATCTTCAGAGACCAGCAACTCTTGGAGTACTTGCCAGTACCACAGCAAAGCACAGGCAAGAGCAAGAGGGTGAAAAAATCCTCCTTCTGCTTTGTGGAAGATGGTCTGTCCACATGAGGATTAGTACAGAGAGACCACCTGGGATGACAAAAGGACTGTAGGGTAAAAATAATTACTGGGGAGCCTATTCATTCTGAATAAATGCAGAATGAACCCTTTCCCCAGTCCAGAGGAGGGGCTGTGGCTGGGCTACTCTGGAAGACAGAGGTTTGCCAGCTTTCTTTCTGGTGTTGCTTCCCCTACCCCTTCCCTCTCAGAGCATGTTCCACATGGATGCTTAGGAACTGAAAAAAGTGCATAAGAAGTGTCCCAGTATCTCAGTTCTCCATTTGAGCTGCATCCCACTGTGTGAGGTGATGGTAAAGGATCCCCTGGCCTTGCAGTCTATAGAAGCTGACAAACCCTTACCCCAGAGGCCCACCAGACAAAACGAGTCTCTCCAGGTCCAATCCACTCATCAGAACGTAGACTCCTTTGCTCAGTGTCCCCAAAACATTTTCAGCTGCAATCAGCAAAGGAAAATGACTTACTTCTGTGCAGAACCAAGACAGCCTGAGGGCCTGTGTTCACTGGGGAGAGGATTGAAACTTTCACTCCCCTTTAGCTTCCCTTTTGGTTTGAGACACAAACTTCCAGACAGGCACTGAGATTTGACACGCACTCCCTGCCACCAAGATGCCTTTTCAGTCCCAGCAAAGCCAGAAAGGAAAAGGCAGCAGAGGGTTACAAAGGGCAGCTACAACCACTGCTACTCTCTTGTCTGTCTTCTGCAGGGTGAGGTGCTCTCCAGAGACCTTCCAGCTCAGCACTTGCACCAAGAATAGCAAACTTAATAGCCTGGGAGGACAAATTAGGAGCCCCCTTCTCCATCCCATGAGTTTGTCCCTGACCCAAACTGATCCATCTACTGAGTGTGTGTTTGAAATGAATGCAAATCCTAGTTGGATATGCTTGGGTCACCTCCCTGAGCATTCCCAATCCAGGAACCAGAGCTGCCAGAGGCAGGCAGTCAAAGCTCACCACTTATCACACATTGGAGGGATATGTATTAGTCCTCTGAATCTGGAGAATATGAACAGTCATTATCTCCCCTCCTGTGAGGGGGACTGAACAGAACATTGCAGCTGTTATAAATAAACGTTTGAAAGAGACAAGTATTATTTCTGTGCAAATGGAACAGGAAAATAGCCACATTAGATAACAGGCTGAGAAAAAACCTGAAGAAACCGTTTCACTTTGGGACAATCTAAAGCACACACTGATGTTAGCAAGTACAAAAAAAGAAGCAGGAATAAAAGGTTCATCTCAGCAAGGCTGTACTACTCTTACAATCAGGAGAGAACTTAAAGCCTAACAACTGTGCTTTGTAGATGGACAGAGATTATCCTGACCACCTCATCGAGCAGAACTGAGATACCATTCAAGCTTTGATCACACGTGATCTGAGAGGTGTGATATGCAAAGTGAAAATGAGACAGGACTTGGACCCATGCAGATAGTCTCCTGAAATAATCAATCTGTTTTTCAGTGGCAGAAGCTCATGAACTGCATTGTCTCCTGCTTACTGAAGAGGATGTTGATGTAGGGTAAGAAGTGCAGCCTCTGCAGGGCCATCATCATGACATTGGAGCTACCATGAGGAAGAAGAATGAAGCTTGGCTTTCAGAGAAAAGGCTCAAGAGCCCCACAGACAAGAAATAAAAATACTAATAGCCAACACTACTTTGAAGAACAGAACACAACTGCCAGCATCAGTAACAGTAAAGTGTCAAAGCTGTTCATGAGTAATGACATCTTTCAGCTAAAAAAGGACTGAATAGCCTGAACAATTCCCTGTAGGTTCAGTGAAAGAGGATGGATAGATGTGTGGTGGGCCGAGGGACATGTGCTGACTGCACCAGGGCAGCAGAGCTGCTGGCTGCATATCACAGCAAAGCCAACAAATGCTGAGGCTCTGAACCAACTTCTACCAATGCAACATGAGTGAGGAATCCATGGACAACACTTGCCATGAGAAACACACCGGCCACTGTGTGCAGCACGGCTGGCAGGGAGCCCATGTGTTCTGCAGCAGATGGAATTGCAGTGCTAGGGGACATCTTGACCTGAGAGAAACATCCTGCTGACACCCGAGATGGCATCAAACTGGTTCTGCTTCCAAGGCAGAAGATCAGATGCAGCATTAATGGCCAGAGTGCCAAGTGTGTTAACTTCCAGCCTGCAGTGATGGGCTTCCCCAAGCAGTCAGCAAGCGGGAACCCCGTTCCCATGAGAACACACTGCTCGTGCAGGTGGCTCCTCAGGAGATGAGCTGAAGACCTGGGCACTGGCCTTGCTGCGTTCACTGGAGGGATCCAATCAATTTAGAAATGCCAGACTTCAGCTGAAGCTCTTTCACTTACTGCAAAGCAGCTTTTGGTGGTGTATGGGGAGCAGGAGCCACTTGCTCTGCAGGTAAGCAATTAGGATTTTCCTGAGTTCAGTCAGGTAAGGCAGCTACTCCACTTGCTGTGGATTTTTCTAACAACAAAAATGACCATTACAGTGGCCCCTGCTGTGCTAATGGGGAAAAGGAAGTTTGTTTTCAGGCCCTGACCCCCAAAGAACTCAGAAATGTTAGAGGCCAACCAAAAATCTGTTGGATAATCTCCAGTGATTTGGGAGAAAAAAACCCTTCAAGGCAAATAAGTTCTGAGTATGCTAGATGGGAGCACTAATGGAAACAAAGAAGTTCCTTTGGAAGCCTCACCTGGGCTTTGCAGAAGCAGGGGTTAAGAGTTAGGTCCATGAGAGTGGAAGAGGAGTGAGCTAAGGAGGGATGTGCTCATTCACAGCACACCAGCAAATTGGACTTTTCCAGTTCCACCAGTTCCCTTGAGGCTGCCAGAGAGCAGATAACCATCTGCAAACCCTCTAGGTCACAGTCTGAACATGCCTGTAATTAGTGATCCAATTTATCTGATCAAGAAGACAGGAAACCACCACAATTTGAACCCAACTCACCGGGGATCTTGCAGTTCTCAAAGATCAATTCACAGGTATTAGACCCTCTCATTCCCAGCTTATTGAGCTTCTGGGCTGTGCTGAAACCTGGCATTCCCTGCAAAGCCAGGACAGGAAAAATACATTTCAAGTGGCAATTCTGACAGACAATCACTAGATGCCTGGGAAATCTCCTTGGCCACACAAAGACATGTAAGGTACCAAGCAGGAGTGGGAGTGGATATGGAAGAGGTAAGTGCAGAGGAGCAGATCCTCAGAGAAACATGCACACATGGGGGGAACCTGGGACCCCAGTGCATCCATTGTCTAATGCACAGAAACATTAAATAAATAAATTATGTGGACAGCTGCCAACACTGACACTCCTGGAGTAAGGGCTGCAAGCTTTGCCATAACTGAACTATAATCAGTAAGTCAGGTTAAGTCCATTAGAAGGTTTACAGGTCTCTGTGATTTTCCAGTACCATTTATTTTATTGCAACTTCCTGTCTTCCTTGCAGGGGCAGAGATGTGTATAGCATAGGTTCAAATAATTGAAAGGGAAACCCTGTTTTCCAAGGGCCCCCCATTGAACAGTCAATTTCTGCTCCCTTTGGCCTCCTCTGCTTTGCATGTTTAGGTCATTTCAGGATTCCAAAAGAGCAGTGCAAGAAAATGGGGCTTGGAAATGAACATAGCCAATTTAATGTCTTGGCTAGTTGGCTTCTAAATGAGCCAGTTAGAATGAAGGGAAGGAGTTGCTTTAAAAACCACAGTGCCATAAGAGAATTATTCAACCCACCTTCTCCACGATGAAGGCAGTGATACCTCGGGAGGCTGGAACTGCACTCATGTCAGTTTTAGCATAAACAATGAGAACATCTGCATCTGGCCCGTTGGTGATCCAGAATTTGTTCCCATTCAAAACAAAGTAGTCTCCTAGAAGCAAAGAGCTGCAACCTGTTAGCTCACAACAGAGCAACACCCATATCCTCACTCCATTTATTTCAAAAGACACTTCCAAGGACGTTCTTTAGGACCCCTCAAAAGCATGAACACATCCTTCCCAAGGTCAAGAAAATGAATTTCCTTCATTTCTGGAGTCTAGAGACAGTTTAACAAATGCCTGACAAACTATGGCACCTACCACTGGTTCCATCACTCCACCAACCTCCACTACCACAACCACAAGTCCACTTTTAGACCTTACATCTTCACTGCCTGGCTTTCTCCCCCACTGAATCCCCTGGGAGGCAGCACAAGCCTGCAAACATGGCCTGGCACACCCAAGACCACAACCCTCTCTCGGTGGTGGTGGGGAGGTTAGTCTGAACTTACAGGAGACACTATTTACACCAGCTCTCTATCCAGGCAGCACATGACAGGCTTTACCTTTCTTATCTGCTCTCAGCTTCATGGACACAACATCAGATCCAGAGTTGGGCTCACTCATTGCTAAGGCTCCAATGTGCTCCCCGCTGATTAGCTGGAAGAGAAGACAAACAGGGAGGAAAAGGCAGCACTGCTCCTGCTCCCTTGTTAGCCTGCCTGCCTTTTTTCTCCTTCCCTGCAGGAATCTCCAGGGTAGCTGTTCTCTGCAAGAACTGCAAACAAGAGTGGCTGCTCCTGGTGGAGGCCAAGCAGGGAGCTCCCTGGTGCTGCTGTGCTGAGGGAACAGAACCAAAACCCAGTGGGATGAGGAGGAGGACTGGGCTCCCAGCTGAGCCAGACCAGTACAGCTCTGCTCAGAAAACACCATCTCCAGGAAGGTGCCAAAAGAACCATGCAGGCAGCCATATGCCTTTCACCAGCCCCTTGCTCTTCACTTCATGACTGCCCTTTTACATAAACAAGAGCTGTGAAACACAAAAGGCCAGTGAGGGGGATGAAAAGAGATTGCAAAGTTCTCAGCAATGTTCTCATAGCTCAGTCCCCCCACACTCCCATTACAGCAGCAGATGGACACCCTCCTTCTGTGCCTGCTCATACCAGGCTCTGGCAGAGCTGCTGCTTCCTCTTCACTATTCCTTCCATCCTGCCCTTTCCTCCTTGCCTTTTTTTCTCCTTCTGTGCTTTCATACATCTACTTCTCCTTTTGATCTCTTATTTTTTAAAAAAAGACTCTGCCCAAGATGCATGTTCAACCAAGTCAATCCATCAATGCATTTCTACAGAAGTCCTGTTAATCTGCTCAAAACTCTTTGAGTAAGTGCTCTGTCATGAACCAGACAGGTAAGAACTTGAAGTGATCACACACCTCATATTGAAAGGCAGTGAATGAGGGCATTAAAACCCACCTGAGCTGCAACAAGGACAATTACCTCTGAGCAGGCTGCATGGTGCTTTCAGGAAGCAACACTGTGCTTTGCATGTGATTTAAATCAAATTTCTTGCACTGATAATTCCACTGATCACTTCAGAAGCTGGGATTCAATGTACTAGTTATGTTTTTCCATGCATTTAAATACTGAAATCTGTATAACATGCTTTTAGTCACAAACATCAATGCCCCAAATGATGAGGTTTCATTTGCAGATAATTAGCATAGGCAAACCAAGCATTTGGGCAGTGAGAAATGGCAAATACAGAACAGGAAAGCAGTGGCTTTCAGTCAGAACTCTCAAAACAATTTGGGAAGCTGAAAGAATATAATCCAGTGTCACCTCAAAGCCTTTTTTACTAACACAGCTCCAGAGAGAACTGGACTATGCTGCCTCCAGACACAGACCTCAGCACAGGCAGAGGTCAGTGTGCACTTAAAGAGAAAAATTAACAAGTTAGAGAAGGGCAAGTCTGGCAAGCACAATATTTCCTGAAAGCTGGGCGACTGAGATTGGCTAGTGCTTAAATGCTCCATCCTGCATGCAACCAAAAAACAAATGCTCTCCAGTTTCCTCCCTTTTCCAGCCACATACCTTGGGCAAGTACTTCTCTTTCTGGGCCTCGTTGCCGTTACGCACCAGCTGGTTGATGCACAGGTTTGAGTGGGCTCCATAGCTGAGCCCAACAGCTCCTGATGCACGAGAAATCTCCTCCATCACCAGCACGTGGTCCAGATATCCCAAAGCAGATCCACCATATTCCGCTGAAGAGAGAAGAGAAACCTCCTGTTTACCACCATGGAGCAGATGAGACCCAAGACACTTACAGGAGAGCTTCTGTTTTGACTGACACTGTCCCTGAGCTGGGCTCCTTTGGCTTTCCCCATCCCCTCTGAATTCCAGTTTTCTTATCTTAAGAGGCACAGTGATGTTACTTCTTCAGCATAATCAATAATTTGTTTTTATACACACAGATAAGGATGCACTTGCACAATAGTTTGTGCTTCTTGTCAGCCATCCTCAAGCACAACCCTATCTTATCACGGAGATCAAAGCAAAGTGGCAACCTGTATTGGGGGGGGACAAAGGAGCACAGGCAAGCTTTGTAAATCCCACATGTTTCTTATAACGAGGAGCTCTAAAGGAGTGAGGAATCCTCTAGCTGCTCAGCAAGTGGGGCACTAGAGACTTCTCTATGCCCACAAAAGTGCAGGAGAGCAGCACTTTGATGGGTGGCTGATGCAGAAGGAGCATGATTCATAAATGTAACTGCTGCAATTCACCAGTGCAAGAACATGGATCTCCAGAGAGGATGAGGTGACAGAGCAGCATGACCATCACAACCAGGAATCTAGTGAGGCACAAAGAGCTGAGCCTAAAACTGGAGGCAAGGATTAATGGCACAGAGTGGAACAGGGGGTGGAAAGGCAGGGAAAAAGAGAAGGCCAAGCAATGCATAAGGGCCTTGGGCAGCTGACAGCCCACGTACTTATACACACCTAGATACCTACACACATGTATATACACACAAATACAGCCACATCCCAATGGAAAGCTTTGTTCTACAGGCAAGAAGCTAAGGGAGGAACAGTCAGGGAGCTGAGCTGGGAGCTCTTACCTGTCACCAACACGAATGCTGTCAGCAAGCAGCAACAACGTAAGGGCAAAAATGTTTGTTTGTTTGAAGTCACCAAAAGCTGAGTGCACACCCTGGGCTCAGAGAGGGCTACTGCCCCTGACCCCTCCAATTAACACCACAGCCAGTGGCATCAGGTGCAGCCTTTCCTCCCTCCTGGCTTTACCTGCAGGACAAAAATCACCTCCCTGCCACAAATCAGAGTCTGGGGTTTTACTGAAAACCCCACCTGAAAGGTGGGTTTAACAATTTCTCATATGTGCCAAAACAAGAGAGTTTTCTATTCACTCCTGTAGAAGGCACAAGCTGGGGGGTACTGCCTCAAAAAAGGAAAGGGAACTGCCTGCTGCAAGAAGGACTGGCCCCTGATTGCCTTGTACTGCAAGAGGTGCAAGAAAATAATCCTCCCAGACAACTCCTCATGTAACACAGACCACAGTGTGAATGGGAATGATGCTGCCCTTTCAAAATTACTCCTTTTACAGGACATGCCTGTATTACCATTCCATGGTAGTCACACATTTGCATTTCTTAACTTAGCTCTTTATAGAAGAAATGGAAAATTACAAACCAACATAGTTTTATTAGTCTTAAGAAGAAAACAAAAAGCACTGTTATTTAAAATGCTGCCTTAATAGACTCGATCCACTGGTGCCCAAACATGCCATTTAATTGAACACATGCCCTCGTAAGATTTCACATTATCTTCACATCCTAAATCCCAGTCTCCACCTCCTACAACAAAACCAGTGCCAATAAAGTGCACACAGCTAGACAATCAAAAACAAGGCAGAAAAATTCTGGGCACAGGAGGGTTTTAGAGGTAAATCTTTGAGGAAATCAAGAAGGACAGGACTCATGAGGGGCTGGCTTATTTATAGTGTGGGAAACTGCTGTAAGCCTCAGGCACAACATCAAAGAAGAAAGAAGGTAAGAGTGAGAAAAAACAGGAGCAGCAGTAAATTGGGAAGAGTAAAGAGAAAGAAAGCAGAAATACAGACTCTTTCAGGCAGCCCCAGCACCACTGAAAGGCAGGCAGAGGCTTTATTCCAAGGCATTGCTATTCAGCTTGCTTCTGCAGAGGCCTTTGCACAGCCACCTCCAGAAACACAGACTTTACGAGGGGCACATAAAGGCCCCATTGGCTGCTTTTCTGCACTAAGGGCTTCTCTTCATTACACTGTGTTAGTGCATTCAGCATGACCACAGCAGCCTCAGTAATCTATAACATTAATCAAAACACTTTTCAACTAACCTGGACAAGGCTGAATAAGATTTAACCTGATTTTTTCTGACTGGTTGGATGTGGTGAGCTTTCCATTAGCTATCACAGCTTTTCAGAGCATTGTTTTACACCCTTTAACTTCTCCCATTAGAGATGGATGTTTGTTCTAGGATACTTTTATCTATAGCTCTCATTCTTCAAGACTTACAGCAAATGCTGCATATTAGAGAGGCACAAACATGTTTGAATTGCATATATCTGGGAAAAAAACCATCTCTGAACAGTACTTTCAAACTGTAAAAGCCATCTTGTCATCGTCTAGAAGACTATCAAGAAAAAAGGATTCTGAGCCAGTGAAGAGTAAGGAAAGTTTCAGAAAATGTTTTAAAAGCCATTAAGATAGGAGCTTCTGGACAAAAACAGCCAAGGCTGTTATCAACTGGAAAGGGTGGGTTTAAGTAGCCTCTCTTTTGTTTGAAGAATTACTCAGCAGAAGGTAAAAGGTGGAAACAGACTTACCAGGAGCTGTGATTCCCAGAACTCCCAGTTCCCCAAGTTTCTTCCAAAAGTCCTACAAACAGAACAAGCAGTGAGTCCAGACCCACAGGGCACCACCATGAGAGCGGCTGCTGTGAATAGCAGGTACCATGAGTTATCCATGGCTGAAACTCTGGAATTATGTAGGAGAGCTGCTATTAGCTGGCACTTCACAACTCCTGAGGCACAGAGCTGCTGGCTGACTTGGGATGTACATCAGCTGTGCCTGGCAGCACCACAGAGTAAGAGGGAAGCCACGGCAATCGTGCAGAAGCCAAGGATGAGAGAAAACAGACATGCTGGAGGGGGCATCGCTCTGCTGTGGCCTCTCCCCCACTGCCTGGGCACACAGTGAAGGCTTGTCATCTGGCCTCAGTGTCCAGTGAGAAGATAAACATCAGTGGGCAGCCTCCAGAGACTTCAAAACGTATTGTTCAATAGCTCTGGATGACATCTGGTGCACCAGACTTAATTTATATATTTAACTTCAAAGCTGTGCATATATCCCTGAAAATGTCAACATCAGAGCTCCGGGAAATCCTGGCAGATGTTCTGAGCTTTTAAAATCTTGTGCAGCTTATGAAAACCAATAGTTGGATCTCTCATTTCCACCAATCAGACCTTCCTGTCGCACAGAATGTGTTGTTTTTATTAAGAAGGCAAGTTCCAACTCGCCAGCCAAACAACTCTCCACTTCAGCATTCACAACAAACTAGAGAGGAAACTCAGATGTCCAAGGAAGGGTCTCAGTGAGGAGAACACAAAGCACACGTTAGAGCAGGGGTCTGAACAGAGCCAAACAGAAATACCATGGTAAGAATCCACACAAGACTATAATCAATCCTGTTTTTCCCCAGTTGCATCCTGGCTGGGTTCCGCCCCAGGTTGCTGAGAGTTGTTAGCAAAAGATAAAGCAGGAAATAAAAAAACTGTTTTCTCTACTGCTTTCAAGTTGGAAAACTTAATGCATGTGTTCCTGTGGTGTGGGCTGGGATCCTTTGTCTGGCCTAATGCACAGATCAAAGTACAGAGAGGCTTTCACTACCCTCTATTTCAAACACACACATGAAATACTTACTCGCATGTCTTTGAATTCATTTTCCTCGTCAATCTGTTGGGCCTTTGGAGCCAAATGCTCTTGACAGAACTTTGTCATGGTCTGTCTGAGCTGGGAAAAGATATGAGGAGAAACGTGCATTATATAACTCATCTTCTTCCCCAGGACACTGCCAGCATTCCTCTGCCAGGATCCCAAAGGCAGAAGCACAAGTCCCTAAGGAAATGTTTCAGGTTAATAGCTGGGAGAGCATATGAAAGGCCCTTTAGTCTTTTCAGGAGAAGACACTGATGACTGAAGTTTCTCACAACATTTAACCTGGACAGTCTGAGCCCAGCATGAGAACAGCACTTTCCTGCCTGCAGCAGGGCTCAGGGGATGGTTCTGGTCAGGAAACTGAGAGGTGATGAACAGAGCTCATGGTGCATCCTCCCCATCCAGTACCTGCTTATTTCATTTAATTACATGCAGATGCCTGGAATAAGCACACATGTCAATTAAAACGTGCTAGTGCATCAAACCAGAACTACCTTTGCTGTCCTACTGTCTTCTTCAGAAGGAAATTGGATGAAGTCAGGTGTGCTGGTTGTGCCAAGTGTTAACAGACTCCAAATCTTGTTCTAAATTTTAAAATTTCAATACGTACATGCAGGTATTCTGCAAGGTCTATATGCACCCTAAGAAAATACACAGAGTATCTCTTTTAGTGTTTTTACCATAAAGATTTTTAAACTTTGGCTAGATATTGTGGTAGAGCTTAACAACTCTGTTTCCCCTTTTGGTTCTTTATTCCTAGAGCTTAATGCTGGTTAAGGAACAGCAGAGACCAAAGGCTCTGCTGCACAACCAGAATCTGTAGAAGGGGCAGAAGCAGCAAAGCAAAATCTGACCAAACTTCTGTGCCCTTCATGCCCACAGCTAAACCAGCCTCTTTTTACAGCTGCAGAGATATCCTGATTTCCATGGCCACCCAGACCTTGAAGTCCAGAACCACCAAACAAGTACAGCAGGAAACTTGAGCATAAAGCTTAAAAGATTAAAAAATGCTTAAAAACATTTAAAAAAATAAATTAATAGAAACTGAGGGATAGACTCACAGACATCTCTGATACTCAGGGTATAAGTTACAGTGCTGTTAATTCACATTCAGTGCTACTGAAGATTTATTTCTGATTTTTTTCAGCTTTCCCAGCAGACAGGTAAGAGCTACAACAGTATTTCTGTCCTTTTACTCCTGCCAAATGTAGAAGTGCAAAAACCTGTCAAGTTAATTTGAGCTGATAAGGCTCAAATGAACTGCAACCTGGTAAAGAATAATTCTGTAGTAAGAAAGCAACAAAAATGAGTTTATTTTGTCCCTCTGCATGCTTGCATGGAGCTGCTGCTGAGCATAGGAGAAAACAGTAAAGCATAGAACTATTATCCCCCCATTGGGCAAGAGAACAGGCTGAGAGAGCTGCAACACTTCTCTTGAGAGGACTTCCAGAGCAGCTCTGCTCTGGAGCCAGGCTGG